CAGGAATGGATTTTTCCCTCCTCTTGACTTTCTTTGTTGTATTACAATTAATCATAGCTATGCCATCTCTGCCTAGGTTAGAACCTGATAGTACTGACATCAGTTTCATTACAGTGTTTTAGTTCCACAAAATGAACAGCCAAAAAAAAAAAAACTTTTTTCAAAAATTGGTAATTAAAATACCAAATTAACTGAAGAATTCTAGGAAACTTGTTACATGTTCTTCAGAAAGTTCCCAGTTTGGGAATGAAAGGATCAGTTCAGATACTCAAAGATGCTGACCTTCAGGGGAACCAGCAGTTAGCGTAATGGCTACGTGGCTGGACTCCCACGTAGTCGACCGCGGTTCGTGTCCTGGACCCGGTGGCTTAAAACTCACGCCGGGCGCGTGTGCGTGCATGCCCAAGATCCCGAGAGGTGAATGGAGGAGAAGGGATTGCGGCGTGACCATCCCCCCTGGGGGGTGATTTCTCGCTTTCTGTCTCTATGTCTCTCTCTGTCTGGCTGGCGAGCGCACGCACCCTACAGTGAAAATCTCTCAAAAAAAAAAAAAAAAAAGATGCTGACCTTCAGAAACATGAAGTCCAGCAGGAACCTTTTAAACAAGAAAAAAAATACTATCACTTGTAAAAATTCAGGGAACATTAGCTGTAATCCTAAGAAAATCTTAGAATTTTGTCTGCGTTTTCTAATTTCCTCACCATCTAATCAACATTAAAGGTAAGAAAGAACTAGGTTTCTTAGATTCTCAATACAAAATTGTTCCTCTATGGGACCAGCAGTTAGTGGAATGGGTATGTCACTGGACTCCCATGTAGTCGACCACGGTTCGAGTCCCAGACCCGGTGGCTTAAACTCACGCCAGATGCGTGTGTGCATGCCCAAGATCCCAAGAGGGAATGGAGGAGAACAGATTGTAGCATGGCCATCCCCCCCAGGAGGTGACTTCTTGCTTTCTGTCTCTCTGTCGCTCTCTTTCTGGCGAGCACATGCGCCCTATAGCAAAAACCTCTCTAAAAAAAAAAAATTAAAATTAAAATTGTTCCTCTAATGACATTCATTCTGTTAAGACTTAATAGCATTATTACTCAAGAGCAATGCTGACTCTTTGTGGTTTAAATGGTTTTTCTGTGTTGTAATGATTATATTAATGCATACAAATTTATGAATCTCCCCAAGAATCATAATTCAGGAATTCCTGCTATCTGGAGGACATCCTAACATGACAATGAGAAGGCAATGAACAGTTCCCCTTGGAAACGGTAGTCTCATTTCTTAGACTTTGAGAACTAATTACTATTTATAGATTTTCCTTTTTTTTTTTTTCCAGGCTATGGTTTTTACTTACCCCTCCCAGAAACTTAATGTCCTTTTGCAGTTTTTCAGATAAAGTGGCAGAAGGTAAGTCAAGGTAAAACACCTTTCCCCAAAGTGGCTTGTATTTGGACTTTTCTAGTCTGTTGTCAGTTTTCAGAGACTTCAAAGAAGGTCTATTTTTTTCACTTTTGACTTGAATTCCACCTGTTAATAAAAATGTTTGGAATTAGATGTTTTATGCAGACAAATTTTTTTTTACTGTTTTACAAATATTTCATTATGCAATGAATGATCATATCACAGAAACGAAAAAAAAATCCTTTTAAGTCCACCAATTTGTCATTATCATTTAACTGTATTTCTTTGTATAACCACTTACAATAAAGGCAAAGATGTCCTTCATCCTTTCACAGACTCTAAATTGTAAGGTAAGAGGTGAATCAGCAAGAATTAATGTGTTTATGCTTTATGTATTAAAGCATCAAAAGTACAGAAAACTTGTTTTGAAAGATTTGCTTCCATGAGTTGTAAATTTCAGGGAGGCATTTACTTAGCTACTACAGAGCACATGCCCTTCTGCTGAACTCTCAAAATTTGTGCATAAAATGTCCAATACTAGCAATGCAATGACCTAGTCCTTAAGGATTCTTGCCTGTTAAGTTTTATTTCATATAACATCTGTCACATATTAAGAGGAATTTAATGGTCCATATTAACAAGAACTAAACCATCACTTACTTTATTTTCTTTTAAAACAGATCTGAGATCCAGGCAACTGCTTTATAAATTAGTTAGCATTCAGAACACAATCTGCTAAGTTGATGATTACTACACACACACAAATCTATATGAAAAACTTACATGCCAGAATGCTGTACCTAATAAAGTGGTTAAAAATGGGAATTTGCTTTTGTTTCCGTTTTGCTATAACTTTGAACCCAGCAATGGTATGTTTGAAATGCAAATATTTTCTCTCAACCTTATCAGTGAGGGAGGATAAACTTTAAGATTTAAAAATTCAACCACAACCACCCAACCTAATCATGTAGCGGAATAACAATGAGGATCAAAGGGCCTGAGCAGTCGCAGCATCTTGAGGGAACTGGCTCCTCCCGCAATTTCCGAACCCACACATTGTTTGCTAGTTTTCATCCTAAGGCAAGACCGGGAATTTGGGACCGGGACTGGAGCAGGAAGAGCGCGAAAGGCCAGGCCAGGCTCCGTTCCCTCTCTTTGAGGCAAAATCCTAAACAGAGCCTTCCTTTAGGTCACTGAGAAGGAGAGAATTAGAGACCAAGAAACAGTGGACCTGGCGGGACACCCCTGAAGAATCAACGGTGGAACCCTAAGGGGAAAAAAGGATTAAAGGGACTGCAGGCGGAGGAGGGGCTTCGTACCTTGGAAGTGTCCTTTGCTGTGGATCCGCATGGCTCCGGAGTTCATGGCAGCCGCCCGGCACCTACATGCTGGATCCAAAGAGGGTATGGAGCCAGGAGGCGGCGAAAACACGGATTCTTCGGCCGGGTTGACAGAGCCAGTTGTCCCCTTCCGCCCGCCAGGGCCACCTCGTAGTAGAGATGTAGCTTGTGCGGGCCGGGTTTCCGGGGCCGGATCCGGCTCCAAGGCGCGGAGGAGGAAGAGGTAAAACACCAACGAGTGGGATGCGGCGGTTGAAGATTTGAAAACGCGTCACGCGGCCGCGGCGCCGATACGCGCGCCCCGCCCTCTCTCACGCCGTGCCCCGCCTCGCGCTCGCCCACGTGCCCGCCTCCTCGCGCGGCCTCGCCCCCTAGGACCGCCTCCTCGCACGGCCCCGCCCCCTCGGGCCAGC